TTCTCCAAGCGACGGTGCCAAGAAGAGCTAGCAGTACCGTTGCTTTAATGTGCTGTCTTGCTCTGTCGCTTTTGCTGTAACGTCGAGACGCAAGAGAGATCAGCATGGAGGTGGTTGCTGTAGGAAGACCGATCCAGACGAGAGCAAGATAGATGTGCAGTGTCGAGAACATCTGAAAGTAGAAGTGAGCTGCGATCGAGCAAAGGATAGGCAAGCCGACAAGCAAAGGGACCAGCCCAGAAGATGATTCGTCGGCGAGAGACCCTAGTCGACGTGCCCATGGTGGCTTGCTCCATGCATGCTTGTTTGTTGACAGATGCGCATCGAGAAGCTCGAGCCCAGCGATATCGTGAACCTCTGCCTGCAACGGAAGCAGAGGGAGCTTCTGGGGATGCTGATGAAGCATGGACTTGGATGACAGGGTATGAGGATGGTGGAGGAAAGCAAGATTGGCAAGGCGATCCGGAAGAACGACATGCAAGAGTCGAGACAGCTATCGACCGAACAAGCATGAGAAGGAAAAAAAAGTCGGCATCAAACGAGAGGGGCGAAGCTGTAAAGCTTGCATGTGTGCGCACGCCTAGCAACAGCATGCGTCTTGATGCAAGTAGGCCGGAGCTTGGAAAAGGGAAAAGGCTCACATCAACAATGGCATGTACAAGCTCGATGGAAGAGCAGAATTGGACAACGGGTGGGAGCGTCGTTTCATTGTCGACAGGGTCCTGCATGTGTGAGGCTCGAGCGGCCAGGAGAACGGGATGAGGTGCATACAATTGAAAACTGTGGATAAGACAGAAAGCTGTGCGTTGACATGACAACGGTTATGAAAGGGGAGTGCCGCTGTTGGAGTTATGCAGGAAAAGATACTCGACTCAACTGAGACAACTCGACGAGTGTCAGTGGCGGTGTTAGAGTATATATATATATCGAAGGGAGCCAGATTGTGGCCCTAAGGAAGTGGTGTTTCTACTTTCAACTGGACCTGGAGCAAACGATCTACTCTCAGAAGCACCACCAGCCCTTTGCTGAATGTCGAACAGAATTCAACAACCCTGATCTGCTCTGCGTCGGCGCAGGAGTTGACCGTCCTCAGCACTAAGCGAGGGCATGAGCCAGAGCCAATGCCAATGCCAAAACCAAAGCCAAAGGAAAACGCAAGAGAAAGCTGTGCTGCTCGGCAAGAATGGGAACATGCAGCAAGTCGGCTCTCGGCTAAAAGGGTGTTTGGCGATCGTTGAACCTGATGCCTTGCAAAATTCAGAGCTCAATGTACGAACAAGGCCGTGTGCTTAGGAGCTCCGCACAGTAGCGGATCGCTGCCTGAAGAGAAAAAGAAAAGGGGGTCTCGGCTCCTGCAGAACTGGAGAGGTCTTGCGCCAAAAGGTTGGAGCGTCGAAGAGGTGGAGAGACCACGATGGCCTTACTCGCTTACAGGAAAGCTCGGGTGAGCGACGCCCTCGAGCTGCATGCTCTTTTCCCAGCACGAGTCCACCTCGCTAACAGACGCTCTTTTGCGCCTTCCGGGGTAGAGACTCAGTCTGCTCTTTCCTCGAGTCGAACACTTTCAAGAGTGGGGCTAGACACTCATATATGGAGCAGTGTATTCCTGGATCGAAGACAGTCCCCGATCCAAGCACTTCGCTCCCTTCTCTAGCCTTCCTCACCCTATCATGCGTACCCGCCCCTTTGCCTTGCTGGCTTCAATCTTGAAGCTGGTCGCCGTGGTGTCGTCCGCTTCAACATCAACGGGGAGCTTGAAGGCGGTCACTATGAATGTCGCAGGCCTTCCTGCTATCTTCAACAACAACGGCGATGGAGACAAAAAGGAGAATTCGATCACCATTGGCAAGAAGTTCACACAATACAACTTCGACTTGATCAATGTGCAAGAAGTAAGTTTCAGCAAGCAGAAAGAGAGTCATCAAGATTGTCTTCTCCCAGCTGACACAGAGACCACATTTCTCGTATTTCTAGGACTTCAACTATCACGCCTACATCTACGACCACGACGATCATCCGTACCGCACCCCCACCTCCGGCGGCGTTCCCTTCGGTTCTGGGCTAAACACCTTGAGCACAATCCCCTTTAGGGACCTTCTCCGTGTCAAGTGGAGCAAATGTGACCTCAGCGAAGGTGACTGCCTCACACCCAAGGGCTATACTGCCGTCACACTGGAATTGCCGTCAGGAGGCGAGGTGGATGTGTACAATCTGCACATGGATGCCGGCGACCACAGCGGCGATTCCAGTGCTCGCAAATCCAACTTCGATCAGCTTGCCAAAGCCATCGCCGACCGATCCGACTCAGCCGGAAGAGCAGTGATCGTAATGGGCGATACCAACAGCCGTTATACACGTCCTCTAGACAATCTATCACAGTTTCTCTCTCAGACCAAGCTGATCGATACTTGGGTCGAACTCGTAAGGGACGGTAAAGCTCCTGCTTCCACAGACCCTGCTCTGTTATGTGCTGACCCCATTCCGACAACGACCAACTGCGAAGTGGTGGATAAAGTGTTCTACAGGAATGGCAAAAGCGTCACATTGCGACCTAGCGACTGGCAGTACCTGGCTGAAGAGTTCGTTGATAGTTCGGGCAAGCCTCTATCTGATCACGCGCCTATCTCGGTCAATTTTACTTATATCACTGCTTGAATGTCACCTTTATCTCTCTCAAGCATCGTGTTAGCAATGGTCAGGACAAAACGGATGATATGGGGAACAGAGGTTGGCGTGCCCTTAATGAATGTTGACCTGACTGAAAGATGTCCTAGAATGAGCTTTGCGTGAGCACTCGAGCAGACAGAGAGACCGGCGGCGATGACCAGCCGACTTGATTTGCGGCCAACCTTAACAGGCTTCTCAATTTTGCGGTTTGTTGCTCGCCTTTTGGCAAGGAGGACGACAGGGGAACCTCGACAAAATACTATGCAGGGCGGTGGGCAATCAGAAGCTCTCCGACATGCACACTGGTGCGCACGTTCTCAAAGCTTGCTCAAGTCACAGGGTAGACTTGAACAGAAGCGAAGAGACCGGGTTGCCCTCGCTTGGGCGTGAATCGTCATGTGGTCGTAGAAGCCGGTGCTAGACAAATTGGCCGAGACAGAACGTGTCGATCTTGTTTCTTTCATCCCAACCTCGGCTCCTGCGAGTAGTCGTTCAATTGATACCGGTGAATGGCTTGCAAACCTTCGGCTCGTGCGGCCAAGGGTTGATTAGAGCGTCTTCTCGTCGGGCCACCGGTCCATACTTGTCTCCTGCCGCGGCCTGCCGTTCAAGCTGTCTCTGCTATCTGCTTGTGTCAATACCCTTTTCTGAAGCGAACGTGTGCACATCTATATAGACCTCCCTTCAACTGCTACAGCTGATCGGTTCCTTTACTGAGGTCACACCCTACAAGACCCATAGAGTAAGGCTCGAGAGCTCAACCATTATCGAAGAATCCAGGTCAGGTCGTCTATTGTTCAACATGCGTCAATGGAAACCAGCGCTGCTGGCGCTTGCCAGTACGTTGGGATACGGCACATCACTTTGGCCAACAACGCAACAAGGACAGGAAGTCGATCCTAGTATCCTCACCAATCTTGGCGCCTGGTCGTTCTACGTGCCAAATGGTGACATCGGTCGCTACGACATCCCTGATGCGGTCTTCCCCGGCTGCGAAGTTGACCAGGTCAATCTCTTCATGCGACACGACTTCCGTGGTCCATCAAAAGGCGTTGGTTCTGGCATCGCGACCATGATATCTAAGATCGTCAACGCCAGCAACGCCGAAGACTCCTCTTGAAATTTCGCAATCTGCGATGGACAGAGCCATCCCGGGCTTCACTTTTTATCCGGTCTAAAAGATAGCTACAAGGCAGTTCCCTCCGAAGTGCTGACGGCGTACGGGGAACAAGATGCCCACGCGAGCGGTTATCGTTTCAAGAAGATGTACGGGTGTCTGCTGGGACACATGGACTGGTACAACGCTCCTGTCAACCAGTCTCTACCGGTCTTTGTGAGGACCACAGATCAAAGTCGTGTCAATGTGACCAGTTGGACATTCTCCGAGGGCTTCATGGGGCCTGACTGGCGCAACCGTCTTGCTGCACCGCTCTTGACCCTTCCAGATAGCTCGAAGGTCTACAACGATCCCCTTGCCGTTGGTACCTGTCCATTCTCCCAGAACGATACCTCATCGGATGATGCTTTCGCGATTTGGAACGACGTCTATCTGCCCAAGGTCGTTCAAAGGCTTCAGCGCGCTCTTCCGAACCTCAACCTAACCACATCTGACGTGCAAGCGATGCAGAATGCTTGTCCCTTCCAGTCTGCCTATCTCAGTCACCTTTCGCCCTTTTGTGCCATCTTCAACCTGCATGAATGGGAGTTGTATTCGTACGGACAGGATCTTCAGCAGTTTGAAAATGCGGTCGTGCCTGGGGCGTCGGCTGGGTCAACGAGCTTCTGGCTCGATTGACTGATTCGCCTGTCACAGATCGAACTTCGACCAATACGACGCTCGATGCTGACAAAACCACATTCCCACTTGGCCTTCCTGTCTACCTCGACTTTACGCATAACGCCCAGTTGGCTTCTGCAGTTGCCGTGATGGGTCTGCCCAAAGACGGTCGTAAGCTCGACCTTACCAAATATCCCAGCAAGGACAGACTATGGAACACAGCTCACATTGTGCCCATGGGAGGCCGTATGGTTGTCGAGCGACTGACCTGCAGGGGTAAGCCGCAGAAGTACGTGCGCATACTCCTCAATGATGCTGTTCTTCCAGTTTCTGGTTTGAAAGAATGCGGCGTACAGGCTCAGTGAAGGAAGCATACCGCTGCCGGGCTTTGCAAGCTGAGCGACTTTGTCACCAGCCAAAGCTTTGCTCAAGCAGGCGGTGACTGGAGGAACTGTTATCTTTGAGCGCATCACGACACTTGATCGGCGTTGTGCCACGTTCAAGCTTGATACGTTCGCAAGTCAAAAAGAGGAGCAGGGGGAAGAAAGGACAAGAGAAGCACAGCAGCACCTAAGGATTGCTGCAGTGTCCCACACCCCAGTGTTAATTGAGCGACACCTTGCGTAACTTTTCAGATCAGGCGGGATGCGGTGCTCACAAGGTTCTATGGCCGCAGGAAGTCATTTGCGGAGGCACAAACCATTTGAAAACACAAACCATCAATCGGTCATTCTTTACTTGCATGATAATGCGATTACACTGTCTACGCCTTTGCTCTGACTTTGCGATAAAGGTCAGAGCTGGCCTGCAACTTGTCCACCGGCTGCCATGGATGCGACAAAGATCAACAATTCCTTCAATGGGTCGTCTTGAGGCAGGCTGCAGTGCCAACACAAGTCCTTCTGATCTTTCGACGCAGCCGGCTTAGCAGCAGCCAGGATGGGTCCGCCATCAACTATACCACCAGTGGAGAATGCACGGGAATGGAGCACACGGAAGAAGACTCGCGTCACTTTCATCCTCGGGGCCATGGTGCTCTCGTTCACCTACAAACCTAAAACGGCACAATGCAGGCTGCCGAACTGTTTCGCTTTGCTAATGCGTTCGAGGAGGATCGACTCTTCCGTGTGGCAAAGTGGGCAGGAATGTTGACGAATCTCACACGAGGAGCGACCAAAGCCCAGAGGTGAAATCGATTCTAGGAGGCCGTGACACACAGACTGCAGGCACAGGTAACCAAGCAGTGATGGCTAGGGCTCAGCCATGAAGGCTATTTGTATTCATACAATCAAGGTGCTCGTGTCGAGCGGACAACACTGTGGACCAAATAACGAAGATTAGATGCAAGATTCCGAATGTCGAGCAAATTAACAGATCAGTTGTGCCGAATTCCGAAACCAAACCCGCGGAATAATAGGAGCCAACGTTCGCGTTGTTGAAATTTGGACGAATCGAAGAAGCGACAAAGGCAAGACGTGGTCAGTAGAAGGACAAGGTCGGAGCAATAGAAGTCAAAAGAGAGTTCAGGCAAAAGACAAGGGTCAGTGCCGCGGATAATGTAAGGAGAAGTCAACGCAATAGTCGTGTTATCACATGCTCGAGTACTTACGAGAAACTCGCAGAAAGCATCTTGTTCTTCTTCGAGCGCCGCCTGACCCGCGGCTGGGCCGGGTGCGGCGAATGCGGCCGCTTGAACCGCAGTGCGTCGATACTTTGGCATCATGAACTGAAAGCTAATGAGGCCGGCCTCATCCATTCGCAGGGATGTCTTCATCGAAGATCGGAGGACTGTCATGGTCCTTGAGAGCAGAGTAAAGTCGTACCACTTCTCGGTACTGCCAGGAAGGGCTATGAACTTTTCGATAACGCCAGTAGGATCGGCAGAAGAGAGACTGGCCGGAAAGTCCATCTCAGAGGAGCCTGTGTCCGAGATGGCCTTGAACCTGAGCATGCTCGCCGACTTTGGCCTGTTCGAACCACGTATGGATCTAAGAGAATCGCTGATGTCAGCATCTTCGTCATTAGTTGACGAAGAGTGCGGCGAAGTCATGAGAATCGAGAGCTTTTTGCAGCTGGCATCGATCTCGGAGAAGGCTGACTGCATGAGATCAGATCCGACGATGACTTGTGCGACCATACTGCGCGAGTCAAAGATCATTTCAGTCAAGAAGCTCGGCTCGTACGTGTATATGGAGCAACGCGTTACTACGTTGGCTTCTTGCTCGAGCTCTAGGACGAGTGGATGACCGTGACCTTGATAGCTGAGTTTCATGCGAGTAGCCTTGGGTGTAGATGAAAAGTGATTTCGGTCAAAGCCTCGTTCGACTGATCCACCCCTGTCTCCGCCGCCGTAGGGTTCGACTGTGCCGTCGCGTGTTCGGCCATAACCTCGGCCTCCGTGAGATGCGCTACTTCCAACAACTGCTGCGTCGTTGCGCAGATTGGGGTGACCTGACCCGGTGCCGTGGGGTCGCGAAGGTCCTACGCCGCCAAAGATGTTGAGACAAGAGATCCAAGTCTGTAGATTAACCTCGAAGGAGACGCTAGCTAGCTCGTCGTCGTTTGCGTCACCATCGTGGCCGTATTCGTCTAGGCCTGCTGCACGTTGTGAGAGGTTTCGAGCTGTTTCTGGAGTTGGAGAGGCATTTGGCGTTCGCTCATCCTGTTGATCGTCCGAGTCGGCTTGCGATTGCGCATCAGCAATTTCATCTTGATCTCTTGAGGTTCTGGGAGGCTTTCTACATTGCGGGTGCTTTGTCCTGGGGCGTGATGAGTTGCCGTTCTGAACGCTAGTAGTGGGCTTGCTGAAGGTGTAAGAGTCGAACATGTGAGAATAGAGATAGGCATGGGCTTGCAAGGTTCGATTGAGTTCGGTCACGATTTCCAGCCCTGAGCTTGACGCAATGATGACAGCATGCTAGCGAGTTGAGACAATTGCCATTAGCCGCGCATAGACACGGAGACAGATCCGTGATGACGGGAGAAGGGAGGTCAGCCCATGCAAAGCTTGGCGAGGCAAATCGAACGAAAGAAGCTGCCGAGCCAAATCGATACTTACGGTCTGAATTGCGACAGATTTGAGGAGATTAGCGAGACCTGTCACATCGGAAACGCTAGCGAAGAGTGTCTGGCGAGATAACGTTGGAAGCGTGCAGAAAGGCCGGAACCCTGAGTCAGCCCGAGACTACGATGGGAATGACCATGAGTGTGTGCTTACCAAGGCGGTAGCCTCGTGCGGCGGTGCTTCGACCGGCATTGCAGGATCCTTTGACCTAACGGGCCCAGCGACGATGGCGGGGAGAGGATGCGATGATGTGTTTGGCAGGTAAGGAGGAGTCGGAAGAACAAGTGTTGAACTCAGCCAAAGATCTGCAACAGCACAGGACGCGCAGAATCGGAGTGTGAGTGTTACTTTGGACCCTGAGACTCTCTCCCTCACTTTCACTCCACAATGATGGATTTATTCGAGTCCCGCCTGGAACTCAATCGCACGAAACAAACCCGAAATTGTATATACAAGACCCACAAATCTCGACGGTCAAGGCGGCGGTGAAAGACTTGGCACACTCGACTATGTCGGCATTCACAAGTCTTCAGACATTGCCAAAGCCGCCATGGATGCATACGAGCAGAAGAGTGCAGACGAGATCATTGGCCTGAATAACATGCTTCTACGCCTGGCCGAGGTACCCATGCCTGCTTCCATCATGGCTGGTCTTGTCGCCAAGTCCAGAGGACCACCTGAAAACGAGAAGTAAGAGTAGCCTCCTGCCGTTCAACTCTTGTCGTTGTTGTCCACTTATCTCGGACTCCGAGTCATCGTCAAAGACCACATCTCCTATCACATCAATGAAACGCATCGACGTTGCAAACGCAGACTACTGTGAGGCAGCGTTCCGTGCCATAAAGCTGCGTGGAAGCGTCATACCCGCTACTATTTGGTCAGACCCTACATAGTTTTTTCTTCTTATGCGAGCCTTTTTTCCGTTCTCCACTTCTCGTTTCGCCATCAGCATTAACGTAGTTCACGTACATGTCAAATTCACCTAGGTCTCGGATTGGAAGTGGCCAATTTTGCTCTTGAAAATGGAGAGGGGGACTTGGGAGTTTCTGGACTCAAAATTGCTGAAACAGCCAAGTCCCCCTCTCAATTTCGAAATTTTGAGGCAGCAGCTCCAGTCAATTTTTGTTCAACACACACACACACAAGCAGGCCAGTCCACCATAGATGTGGACCTTCACTATATCAAAGTACAACAACAACACTTGGATTGCAATGCAACATAGGATCACATGAAGGGCAGCATGGGTGGAAGGAAGGGTGGCATTGGCTGCCACCTGGGCAGTGGGGGCTTGTCAGGTAAGGTACTTGAACTAGCAAAAGGCAGAGGTGGGGGTACCATTGACATAGACTCATAACCTGGAAAAGGCAACATTGAGGCAGAGGTCAGAATCTTCTTTCAGATGACAAGGTTGGTGTCAACTAGACTGGCAGGTTCTCTTGATTGCTTGCTTGCTCTTTGCCTTTTGCTTGCTTCTTGCCCTTTCGAGTCCTTGTTCCTGACTCCTTCTGAGCCTGCTCTTCTTGTGCTGCAAGTAGCCTTGGTAAGTTGCTTTGGTGTAGTACCCTGGCCTGCGACAACTGATTCCTATCGCCTGGGAGTGCATGTTGCTTATTAGAGTGGGCTGCTGTGAGCTCTTGAATGTGGGCTTGATCAATTGCATGCTGGCCAAAGAGAAGGTCCATTAACTTACTGTCATGGGTCTCGCGCCTGAAACCCAGGTTGGTCTGTCGAGATACTCGGTGACTATCAAGTTGTGCGACAGCTATTGTCTCGGTATCGGTCTCGACTAGCTACATCGCTCGGCGACTATCAAGTTATGCGATGACAGCGGGTGGCATTCGTTGTATGTACTATCGTAGGTTTCGGCTGACCTCTGTGGACACTCCGTTCAGAGGTGGCTCGGCACGATCGATATCAATGCGTAGGTTATGATGAAGGTGGTGGTGGTGGTGATAGGTTGGTGGCGTCGACACGAGTGTCCAGTGTGTCGACTATTGCTTGAAGTGATCCCCAGACCGCAGTGGACTACTGCCTTCGGTTCTATCTTAATCCGGACCGCTGGTTTGCTATGAACCGCCTTCGGACGTCAGTGAGCGGTGATACAACACACGCGCTACAAGGAGTGGCAACCTGATAGATTGCAACTGCGCTGACTGTAACTAATGTATACTTATGCTTGAAGTGATAACTAGTTAATATGGTGAGTGTAGAGTGGATGAGGATCCACTCGACCTTTGATGATGAGAAGGTATGGTTATATACCTCTTCGCAGCGTCGCCAGCGACACTGCTCCTGCTCTCTCTCCAGAGAGTACCCTCTTCGTCGAGTACTGTACAGGGGGTCCCTCTAGCACCACTCCTGCCCTCCTTGAGCTATGTCAGCTCCTTCCGACAATGCTCCTCCTCCTCAGGACCTGCTTGCCGGTCTCCTATACACTGCTCCTCCTCCTTCAACTGGTGACGGTTCCTTTGATTCTTGTCTCTCGAGCCCCTGGGTGGTAACTGTCTGCATGCTCCTTGAGCTCGGTCCTCATTGTGGTGGTGCCTGGCCCTCCTCGCATATGCGCTTGGTCCTCCTTGCATATGGGCTTAGTCCTCCGTGTCCATGGT